GAAGGCAGGGGTGTGGTTGTGAGGGCAGGAGTGTGGTTGTGAGGGCAGGATGTGGTTGTGAGGGCCCGGAGTGTGGTTTTGAAGGCAGGGGTGTGGTTTTTTGGGGGGCTGGGTGTGGTTGTGAGGGCAGGAGTGTGGGTTTTGAGGGCAGGAGTGTGGGTTGTGAGGGCAGGTGTGTGGTTGTGAAGGCAGGGGTGGTTGTGAGGGCTGGGGTGTGGTTGTGAGGGCAGGGGTGTGGTTGTGAGGGCAGGAGTGTGTTTTGAGGGAAAGGGGTGTGGTTGTGAGGGCAGGAGTGTGGTTGTGAGGCAGGGGTGTGGTTGTGGGGCTGGGTGTGGTTGTGATGGCTGGGGTGTGTTTGAGGGCTGGGGGGTGGTTGTGAGGCTGGGGTGTGGTTGTTTAAGGCTGGGGGTGTGGTTGTGAAGCTGGGGTGTGGTTGTGAGGGCTGGGGTTGTAGTTGTGAAGCAGGGGTGTGGTGGAGGGCTGGGTTGTGTTGTGGGGGCAGGGTGTGGTTGTGAGGGCTGGGTGTGGGTTTTGAGGGCAGGGGTGGTGTTGAGGGCTGGGGTGTGGTTGTGAGGGCAGGAGTGGTTGGAGGGCAGGAGTGTGGTTGGAGGGCAGGAGTGTGGTTGTGAGGGCTGGGTGTGGTTGTGAGGGCAGGATGTGGGTTGTGAGGGCAGGAGTGGTTTGAGGGCTGGGTGTGGTTGGGGGGCTGGGGTGTGGTTGTTGAAGGCTGGGTGTGGTTGTGAGGGCTGGGTGTGGTTGTGAAGGCTGGGGTGTGGTTGTGAGGGCTGGGGTGTGGGTTGTGAGGGGGCTGGGGTGGTGTGAGGCTGGGGTGGATGAAAGCAGGGGTGTGGTTTTGAGGGCAGGAGTGTGGTTTGAGGGGTGGGTGTGGTTGTGAAGGCAGGGGTGTGTTGTGAGGGCTGGGGTGTGGTTTGAGGGCTGGGTGTGGTTTGAGGGCAGGGTGTGGTTGTGAGGGCTGGGGTGTGGGTAGTGGAGGGAGGTGGTTTGTGAGGGCAGGGGTTTTGGTTTGTGAGGGCAGGGGTTGTGGTTGTGAGGGCAGGGGTGGGTTTGAGGGCTGGGGTATGGTTGTAGGCTGGGGTGTAGTTGTGAGGGGAGGGGTTGGTTGTGAGGGCAGGGGTGTGGTTTGTGAGGGCTGGGGTGGTTGTGAGGGCAGGGTGTGGTTGTGAGGGCAGGGGTGGGTTTTGAGGGCAGGGGGGTGGTTGTGAAGGCAGGGTGGGTTGTGATGGCAGGGGTGGTTTGGTTGAGGGGAGGGGTGTGGTTGTGAGGTAGGGGTGTGGGTTGTGAGGGCAGGGGGTGGTTTGTGAAGGCTGGGTTTTTGGGGGTAGGGTGTGTGGTTGTGGGGCTGGGGGTGGTTTGAGGGCAGGGGGTGGTTTTGAGGCAGGGGTGTGTTTTGAGGCCTGGGTGTGGTTGTGAAGGCAGGGGTGGGTGTGAGGGCGGGTGGTTGTGAGGGCAGGGTTTGGGGTGGATTGTGTGAGGGGAGGGGTGTGGTTGAGGGGCAGGGTGTGGTTGTGAGGGCAGGGGTGTGGTTGTGAGGGCAGGGTGTGGTTGTGAGGGGAGGGTGTGGTTGTGAGGGCAGGGTATGGTTGGTTAGGCAGGGGTATGGTTGTGAAGGCAAGGGGATGTTGTTTAAGGAAGGGGTTGGGTTGTGAAAGGCAGGGGGATGGTTGTGAAGGCAGAGGTGTGGTTGTGAGGGGAGGTGTGTGGTTGGAGCGGTGTGTGGTTATGAAGGAAAGGTGTGGTTGTGAGGGCAGGGGTGTGGGTTTTGAGAGCAGGGGTATGGTTGTGAAGGCAGGGGGGTGGTTGTGAAGGCAGGGTGTGGTTGTGAAGGCAGGGGTGTGGTTGTGAAGGCGGGGTTGGGTTTCGAGGGCTGGGGTGTGGTTGTAAGGCAGGGTTTTGGTTGGAAGGCAGGGGTGTGGGTTTTGAAGGCAGGGGTGTGGTGGAAGGCAGGGGTGTGGTTGTGAAGGCAGGGTGGGGGTGTGAAGGCAGGGTGTGGTTGGAAGGCGAGGGGGTGGTTTTGCGAGGGCGGGGTGTGTTGTGAAGGCAGGGGGTGGTTTGAGGGCTGGGTGTGGTTGTTGAAGGCAGGGGTGTGGTTGTGAAGGCAGGGTGTGGTTGCGAGGGCTGGGTGTGGTTGCCGAGGGCTGGGGTGTGGTTGCGAGGGGTGGGTGTGATTGTGAAAAGGGAGGGGCGTGGTTTGTTTGGGGCTGGGTGTGGTTGTTAGAGCAGGGGGGTGTTGTTAGGCAAGGGGTGTGATTGTAGGTAATGCTGGTGTATGGTTTGAAGTGAGGGAAGAGGTATGGTTAGTGATGGCTCTGAGAAAGGTAATCTCACAAGACCAGACCCCTCTACCTTAATGATCCCGTAGCTCGATTGGTAGCCCACTCAGTTCATACAATGAGATCAGTGGTTCGATCCCCGGTATGGGTGGAAACATTAGGATGTGTTTCTTAAGACACCTGCTATCCCTGTTCACCAAGCAGTAAGTAGGTACCTGGGTGTTAGCCGACTGGCGTGGGTCACATCCTGGGGACAGAATTAAGCAGTAGGTACCTGGGTGTTAGCCGACTGGCGTGGGTCACATCCTCGGGACAGAATTAAGCAATAAGTAGGTACCTGGGTGTTAGCCGACTGGCGTGGGTCACATCCTGGGGACAGAATTAAGCAGTAGGTACCTGGGTGTTAGCCGACTGGCGTGGGTCACATCCTCGGGACAAAATTAAGCAATAAGTAGGTACCTGGGTGTTAGCCGACTGGCGTGGGTCACATCCTGGGGACAGAATTAAGCAGTAGGTACCTGGGTGTTAGCCAACTGGCGTGGGTCACATCCTCGGGACAGAATTAAGCAATAAGTAGGTACCTGGGTGTTAGCCGACTGGCGTGGGTCACATCCTGGGGACAGAATTAAGCAGTAGGTACCTGGGTGTTAGCCGACTGGCGTGGGTCACATCCTCGGACAGAATTAAGCAATAAGTAGGTACCTGGGTGTTAGCCGACTGGCGTGGGTCACATCCTGGGACAGAATTAAGCAGTAGGTACCTGGGTGTTAGCCGACTGGCGTGGGTCACATCCTCGGGACAGAATTAAGCAATAAGTAGGTACCTGGGTGTTAGCCGACTGGCGTGGGTCACATCCTGGGGACAGAATTAAGCAGTAGGTACCTGGGTGTTAGCCGACTGGCGTGGGTCACATCCTCGGGACAGAATTAAGCAATAAGTAGGTACCTGGGTGTTAGCCGACTGGCGTGGGTCACATCCTGGGGACAGAATTAAGCAGTAAGTAGGTACCTGGGTGTTAGCCGACTGGCATGGGTCACATCCTGGGGACAGAATTAAGCAGTAAGTAGGTACCTGGGTGTTAGCCGACTGGCGTGGGTCACATCCTGGGGACAGAATTAAGCAGTAAGTAGGTACCTGGGTGTTAGCCGACTGGCATGGGTCACATCCTGGGGACAGAATTAAGCAGTAAGTAGGTACCTGGGTGTTAGCCGACTGGCGTGGGTCACATCCTGGGGACAGAATTAAGCAGTAAGTAGGTACCTGGGTGTTAGCCGACTGGCATGGGTCACATCCTGGGGACAGAATTAACCTAAGTTGCGGGAAATGCTCTACATAACCAGAGGCTTTCTATATAGTAGTATGTCATTGATCTCAGCTATGGTCTGTACAAGTTGTATCATGTACTTGTACAAATAAATATTATATGGCAGTTAAATATCAGTGCTGAAGATGTGAGGTTAATCACAAGTACAAAATGTACAAATTCCTTCAATGAACATGGCTAATTAAGACCAATCTGTACCTCTGGAAGTTTCAAGCCAAACGAAAGATACATTCTTTAGTTATTGCTCAGATACCAATATCCCAAAATACATACAACAACAATTTAAGTTTTAAGTCGGTCAGCAGTTGCATTCTCGAGTTATCAACGTTGAAGTTTCACTCGATCGGATGAGATATTAACAAGTTATCACATAGAAGCCAGTATTTATATTTTTCTTCAAAATTTCAATAAATATTGGCGAAATTGTCCCTTCCAAAGTCAAAAATAAATCCAACTCTTTCTTCAGGTACGACACACCAGCAACTTAAAAGTATGAAGCTGATCAGAAGCTGCATTCTCCAGTTACTGCTCAGAAACATTTAATAAAACTGGTAAATTCAAACTTGCACGTGACCCAAAGTCAGTGTAAACCTGTGCCCTTCCCCCCCCCCAGGAAAGGTGGTTTGAGGCCGACCGGTCACAACATTCCCCAGTTACTATACAGAATCCAACACTTTAAATTGGCAGACTTGTAACTAGACAGCTGAAATATAAAAGGCCTAAACTTTACATAAAATGGAACAGTCATTATATATTAAAAAGATTCACTGGAGGCGTACTCGGGTAATTTAACCAAAAATTAGTTTAAAATCAAATTTGCAGATGTCAGTCTTCTACGCAAGATAAGCCTGGTCACAGACCGGGCCGCGGGGGCGTTGACCCCCGGAACTCTCTCCAGGTAAACTCCAGGTAAAAGTTTGAGGCCGATCAGATCAACCATTCTCGAGTTATAAACGAAAATTTTGAAGATGGAAAAAAAAGTATCCCTTTGGGATACGCCTGAGGGGAGGGATACATTTATCACAAAGCATAACTGACCAGATGGAGCGGTAAACCCAAAGGGGGGTCATGCAGCACCTGGGGCGGAGGGGGAAGGGAATGGAAGGCATTCAGACTCGATTCAATGAACTAAAGCACAGGGTTCAATCCCTTGGATCAAGAGCCCCTCACCCCCAGACAGGAGGGGGGGGGGGCAAACAAAAGTCTGGGTGAGGAAGACTTTTATTGTCCACTATAAGACTTTTATAGTGTACAATAAAAGACTTTTATAGTGTACAATAAAAGACTTTACATAATCCACTATAAACGACTTGTACAGTCCACTGTTGCAGACTATTAAATCTAAAGCTGTATATAAACAATAGCTTACAGTAGTACACACTTACAGTGGCCATTTTCCTCCTTGGTCAGCTGTCAACATCTGAAAAAAAAAATAAAAGTCAATATTACTAAGACATCTTTTGTTTTTTTTCCGATATTGGAACAACATTAGGATAAATATGCTAAATTTCCTGGAAACTTTCCACATATACGAAAAAGTTCCCAAGTGCAGGAAAAAAACTTTCACGTGCAGGAAAAGCTTTCTACGTTCATTGGAACTTTGAACGTCCAGGAAGAAAACATTCCACGTGAAGCAGAGGAACTTAAGATTACTGAAATTAGTTAAAAGGAAGTTGCCAGCTTTCATTCTCAAAGCTTTATATACTCAAACTGGACTGAGACACGGGAAGAAACACAGAATCAACCCAGGGGAAAAAATCCGGGGTGCCATAGGTACTGTGCTAACGTGAGGGGTCCAAGACTTTTCAACATATCAAAAATATTAATGGAACTAATTGTAATAATGATGTAATCGAAAAGATTACATCATTATTACAGTTTTATTACACCGACTCCAGGCTGAGGGACTGATTACCTTAAAGTCCTTCTGATCTTCAATATTCTTCTTCGTATAGGACTGATGAAGAAAGTGTGGCAAAACGTTTCCTCAGTAAAGACACCAAATATGAACATTAAAATGGTATAAAATACAGACAGGTTGTTAGGTAAGACACATATGCAACAGTTAGGTATCTTTATTCGAAACGTTTCGCCTACACAGTAGGCTTCTTCAGTCGAGTACAGAAAAGTTGATAGAAGCAGAAGATACTTGAAGACGATGTAATCAGTCCATCACCCTTGAAGTTTTGAGGTGGTCAGTCCCTCAGTCTGGAGAAGAGTATTGTTCCATAGTCTGAAACAATATGGAGTTGAAGTGACAGGACTGACCACCTCAAAACTTCAAGGGTGATGGACTGATTACATCGTCTTCAAGTATCTTCTGCTTCTATCAACTTTTCTGTACTCGACTGAAGAAGCCTACTGTGTAGGCGAAACGTTTCGAAATAAAGATACCTGACTGTTGTATATGTGTCTTACCTAACAACAAAGATACCCAAGTGTCGCACGTGTCTAATTTATCAACTTGTTGGTTCTCTGAATAATTTGTCTACATTACTGGTCAATACTAGGCACGTCCTTACCATAACTACTCACTACCACCCACGAGTCTATTCAACCCTCTCCCAAGCTGCCCGAGAATTTGCTCCAATGCACCTTTTTTAGGCTGCACAACCAGAGGTCTTAGAAATTGATCCATTGCAGCTGCAGCAATGACCAGCACTGTAGCTGCAGCAGTGACCAGCACTGTAGCTGCAACAGTGACCAGCACTAGCTGCAGTGACCAGCACTGTAGCTGCAGCAGTGACAAGCACTGTTATCTACAGCAGTGACCAGCACTGTAGCTGCAGCAGTGACCAGCACTATAGCTGCAGCAGTGACCAGCACTGTAGCTGCAGCAGTGACCAGCACTGTAGCTACAGCAGTGACCAGCACTGTAGCTGCAGCAGTGACCAGCACTGTAGCTGCAGCAGTGACCAGCACTGTAGCTGCAGCAGTGACCAGCACTGTAGCTGCAGCAGTGACCAGCACTGTAGCTGCAGCAGTGACCAGCACTGTAGCTGCAGCAGTGACCAGCACTGTAGCTGCAGCAGTGACCAGCACTGTAGCTACAGTAGTGACCAGCACTGTAGCTGCAGCAGTGACCAGCACTATAGCTGTAGCAGTGACCAGCACTGTAGCTACAGCAGTGACCAGCACTGTAGCTGCAGCAGTGACCAGCACTATAGCTGCAGCAGTGACCAAACACTGTAGCTGCGCAGTGACCAGACTGTAGCTGCAGCAGTGACCAGCACTGTAGCTGCAGCAGTGATCAGCACTGTAGCTGCAGCAGTGACCAGCACTGTATCTGCAGCAGTGACTAGCACTGTAGCTGCAGCAGTGATCAGCACTGTAGCTCATATTTCCTGCTCTGTATTTAATAAATAAAGAGGATCTGGCATTTTTTTAAATAATGAATAAAAGTCACAATACCGGACTGGAACACACAAAAAAACCCCCCCCATAAGAAAAAGAAACTTTTTTGACGTTTCGGTCCCACTTGGGGCCTTAAGAACGGACTAATTAATCTTCCCAAATCGTACCAAACTCGTCATACACTTTTCGGGTTATTTGTACTTATTTAAACAAATTAAAAGGGGGGGGGCGGAAAAAAAAAACGAAAATAGATTAAAAAATTTTTATTTAAATTTTGGGGGGGAAAACCTATCTTTTGTTTATTAAACCTTTTGGGTATTTTTTTAAAACTATTTTTGGGGTTTTTTTGGGGTTTGGTTTGGGGGGCCCGGGGGGGCTTTTTTTTTGAATTGGGGGGGATTTGGGGGTTTTGGGAAATTGGGGGGTTTTATAATTTAAAAAAATTTTTTCTAAAAAATAAAGGGCAAAACCAAAAAAAAAATAAAAAAATTTAAAAATAAAAAAAATTTAAAGGGGGAAAAAAAATTGGGAAAAAAAAAATAAAGGGGTAAATAAAATTTAAAAAATGGGGAAAAAAAAGGAAGGTAAATTTAAAATTTAAAAAAAAAATTTAAAAAATAAAAAGGGGAAAAAATTTAAAATAAAAAGAAAAATTAAAAATATTAAAATAAAAAAATAAAAATTTTAAAAAATTTTTAAAAAAAAAAAATAAAAATTAAAAATTTTTTAAAAAAAAAGGGGGTAAAAAAAAATTTTTTTTAAAAAAAATAAAAAAAAAAAAAAAAATTTAAAAAAAAAAATAAAAGGTAAAAAAATTTAAAAAAAAATTTTAAAAAATTTTTAAAAATAAAAAGGGGGAAAAAAAAAAAACTTTAAAAAAAGGGGAAAAAAAAAAATTTAAAAATTTAAAAAAGGGGGGGGAAAAAAAAAATTTTAAAAAATTTTTTTTAAAAAAAGGGTAAAAATTAAAAAAAATTTTTAAAAAATTTAAAATTAAAAATTTTAAAAAATAAAAAAAAAATTAAAAAAATATTTTAAAAAAAGGGGAAAAATAAATAAAAATATTCCCGGGGGGGGGAAAAAAAAAATAAAATTTTTAAAAAAAAAAAAAATAAATTTTTTTTAAAAAAAAAACCCCCCCAAAAAAAAAAATTTAAAAGTAAAAAAAAAAGGGAAAATAAAAAAGTTTAAAAAATACAAAATTTTTAAAAAAAATAAAAATTTTTAAAAAAAAAAAAAAAAAAATTTTAAAAATAAAATAAAACATTAAAAAAGTTTGGGAAAATTTTTTTGGGAATTAAAGAAACAAATTTAAAAAAAGGTAAAAAAGGGGGGTAAAAATTTTAAAAAAAAAATTTTAAGGGGGGGTTAAATTGGGGAAATTTTAAAAAGTTTAAGGGGGAAAAAAAAAAATTTAAAAATTTAAAAATAAAAATAAAATTAAAAATTTAAAAAAAACAAAAAATTTAATTAAAAATTTAAAAATAAAAAAAAAAATTAAAAAAAATTTTTAAAGGGAAAAAATAAAATAAATAAAAAAATTTAAAAAATAAAAAAAAAAAATTTTGGGGGGGGAAAAAAAAAAGGGGGGGGGGAAAAAATTTAAAAAATTTAAAAAAAAAATAAAATTAAAAAACCCCCTTTAAAAATAAAAAAAAAAATTAAAAAATTTCAAAATCCCCTAAAGGGGGAAAAAAATTTTTTTTAAAAAAAACAAAAACCCCTTTCCCCCCCCCAAAAAAGGGGAAAAAATTTTTAAAAAATTTTAAAAAGGGGAAAAAAAAATAAATAAAATTTTTTAAAAAAAAAAAAAGGGGGGGGGGAAAAAATAAAAAGTTTAAAAAAAAATTTTTAAAAAAAAAAATTCCCCCAAAATTAAAAATAAAAAAAGTTTAAAATAAAAATAAAAAAAGGGGGGAAAGTTTTTTTAAAAATAAAAATAAATAAAAATTTAAATTTTAAAAATAAAAAAAGAAAAAATTTTTTTTTAAAAATTTCGGGTAAATAAAAATTTTAAAAATTAAAAAAAAGGGGGGGAAAAAAAAAAATTTTTTTTAAAAAATTTTTAAAAAAAGGGTAAAATTTAATAAAAATATTTGGGGGGCCCAAAAAAAAAATTTTAAAAAAAATAAAATTTTTAAAAACCCCCCCCCCTTTTTAAAAAAAAATAAAAATTTTTAAAAAAAAAAAAAAATTGGGGGAAAAATTTTAAAAAAAAAAAAAATAAAGTAAAAATTTAAAAATTTAAAAAAAAAAGTAAAAATTTAAAAAATAAAAATTAAAGTAAAAAATTTAAAAATTTAAAAAAAAAATAAAGTAAAATTTAAAATAAAAAAAAAAAAAAAAATTTTTTTTTTTAAAAAAAATTTGGGGGGGGAAAAAAAATTTTTTGGAAAAAACCCCAAGGGGGAAAAAAAATTTAAAAATTTTAAAAGTTTTTAAAAATTCCCAAAATTTAAGTAAAAATAAAATTAAAAATTTAAAAAAAAAAAAATAAAAAAAAAAAAATTTTTTAAAAATTTTAAAATAAAAATTTTAAAAAAAATTTTTAAAAAAAAAAAATTAAAAAAAAAAAAGGGGAAAAAAAATTTTAAAAAAAAAAAAATTTTTAAAAAATTTTTTTCAAATTTTTTAAAAAAATTTTTTTAAAAAAAGTTTAAAAATAAAAATAAAAAAAAAAAAATTTAAAAATAAAAATAAAAATTTGGGGGGGGTTTTTTAAAAAAAATAAAAAAATTTTTTAAAAAAAGGGGAAAAAGGGGGGAAAAAATTTAAAATAAAAATAAAAATAAGTGGGGGGGTTTAAAAATAAAAAAAAAATAAATTTTTAAAAATATTAAAAAAAAAAAAAAAAATAAAAAAATTTTTTTTAAAAAAAGGGAAAAAAAAGTCTTTTAAAAAAAAGGGGGGTAAAAAAATTTTTAAAAAAAAAAATAAAAAAAAGTAAAATATTAAAAAAAAGGGGGGGGTTTTTTTGGGGAAAAATTTTTAAAAATAAAAATAAAATTAAAATTTTTAAAAATAAAAATAAAAATTTTAAAAATTTTTAAAAATAAAAAAAAAATA